GCCGGGACAAAAGGTTTCGCTTCAGGTATGGCACCGAGCCGTGCCCTGTCCAGGTTCTCCTTCCCGCGCGCCGGCACCACTTACGTTGGTTTTTTTCCAATTAGAGAAATGTAGCTTATTGCTAAACCACATTGTAATGCTCTTGTTTTCTTGCCAGGAACGAGTACAAGTACTTCCAGAGAATGACTAGCACATCCCATGTGGAAGGTAATGTTGTACTTGTTCCTGAAGTATGCCTCTACTTTAAAATTAGTTTAGGAAGGCAAGACAGGTAATTTTACTTTTCTCTGACTTAAAAGTCCTGCTTCTGCAAACAGACTGCCCTTCCCAGCCTCCCAAGCTTCACAAGTATTTTCCCCTTTGTTAATATGTCATCTGCAGATTGTTTCGGTTAGGTGAAGAAACTGGAGATGAATCAGATGTTAAAGGGCTGCACGTGATTTGCAAATAAAAAGAATTTCAAAGTCCTGTTTCCCCAACAGAGTAGAAAACTTCACCTACCTGTCTTTACCTACAGCTCCAACGCAGAACAAATTAAAAGTGGAAAGGTTTTTATATGTTGATTAATTAGTGGAGTTATTTTCAGGCTGTATTACCTTATCTAACTTGTTTGCTGTAGCTCAACCTTGGCCATTTGTTCCACCCCTCTGACCCTTGTGATGGTAATTTTGCTTGATTTTCTGACCACTGAGCCATCCCAGTACGCCAGAAAACCGTAAGTTTACTGATAATACACAGCAACAATACTGCAATCGTATGCAGTACGTATGCATCTGTACACAATAATATGCAACTGTACTGGTAGTATGCAGCAGTAAGTTCAGGCCAGTGAGACCTTTGCAGCAAAGTAATATTATAGACGCTATTGATTTGGTGATGTGAGAAACATTCACCTATGTAGTTTTTAAGAGAGGACAAAGTCTGTGAAGCAGAGGTTTATTTCAGCGCTGGGTGCATGGAAGATCACCTGCGTGATCCTCCTGCATGCAGACTGGTTGGTCTAACTTCCACAAATTTATTTAGGACAGTCATTCATATTCATGCCATTTCCCAGAAGTCTCATACATATTTAAATGATTTCCCTGACGTTATTTACATCTGTACCCTCCCACTTGCGTCTGCGCAGTGTTCTCTAGGGGTCTTCTTTGCGGGTCGTGAGGGGAAGGTTCAAAGTCCTCCTCTCAGTTGAACTTATTATTCCGGCGCCTGTGCTCTATTGTTTCAGCTACACTGTAAACCCAAGTTGGCAGCTAATCCTCTCTTCCATGTAAGGGCAGGAAGGTGACATCCAGGTAGAGGCTGATCATGGCTAAGATAAGTGGTGTCAGCCAAAGCAATGTAACCCTATACCCAAAAACACATTACCCTGTCTCTGTCCCCATACTTGGGTACCTGGAAACTTACATTCTTTCCAACCGCCTGTCTGCTATGACTTAAGCAAAACTACAATATTATTTATCACAGTGAGATAAAACCAATTGTTGTAGAGTGAAAAAAATTGTGAAAATCAGCACAAACAAATGGGGATAAGAATGCGGAAGATGAAAACAGCTAATTTATTCTGACTGGCTACTTGCTGCTGCCAGAAGCGATAAGTCTTGCTGCATTGCCCCCATTCCTCTTTCACACTGACTTTAGTGCTGGTTTGACATTTCCTTAAGCTGTTTTAATTCTCTGGCCCAGTAGACTAGTCTACTGGGTGTCTGTGGGGACTGCCAGTACAAGGTGTGTGGTAGGAGTGGGAAGGAGGCATTGGGAGAGGAGGAATAGAACCTCCCTGAGCCATGCGACCAGCTCACTGCATCTGGTGGAATCAGACCCATGAGAGACAACAGGTTTACCCTCGTATTTCTGCTGCTTCTCTATTTGCCAGTGGGGTCACTCTCTTTCCTGTGGGTTTTTTTTTTTCATGCTCCTGTTAAAACTGCTGTCTAGCAAAACTCACTTGTTTGCTAAAACTTCTGGGCAGCCTAACATGTGCCCTTGTTTTGATTAAGTGACCTATTCCATATTCTGATTTGAAGGTCTGTTCCATATTCCACAAGGAATGTATAATTCATTTTACAACAGTCTTAAGTGAAGGATTTTACTTATGTTTTGGAGACCTGATTCAGCCTATTGCAACCTTACATACAAAAAAGACAGAACACAATTGAAAATCTTTTAAATGTCTGCAAGTTGCATCCTACCTGGCACAAATAACCCATAGTCAAAAAAGATCTTTTAAACACAATTAAAAAGAAAAATTTTGCTACATCCTACCTGGAGATCTTTTGATAAGCTATGACCTTAGATGCTAGGCAGTTAAGTTGCTTCATAACCAGACCTCTTAATGGATTACACTGCCATAAATCTTCACAGCAGGGATACCACCATTAGCTCAAAAAAGTCAGAGGGTCACTGATTTTTGAAAGTGGGAAGAATGCACTGGGGAAGCATCACCTGATCTTGCTTTTAGTCTGTGTGCATACCTGCACTGGCCACTGCTGTAAGTTAGCTCTTGGTCTAGACAAATCTTTGTTCTGACCTCATAGACATCTCAGTGTAAATCTTTAGTAACAAAATACATATATTTTTCAGAACTTGTGCATTTCCTTCAGTAGTGGTGCCAGTGGACTGTGCTAAGGTATCTAAACTGACACTGCAGTGTGTCTCTTGGAAACTTGCTCATGAAGCTTATCTGTAGGGGAAGGGTCTTTAGGCACTGCTAATAAACAGCAGGACCATCAGTTCTCTGGTGTGATCTGGTAGATCCAGCCTCTCTCAGATCACAAAGCAGGGAGGATAGCTGGAACGAATACCATTTTCTTTTCTTTAAAATCTCTCCTACTGTGTAACACTGTAAAAAACTTCCCATTACCTTTTGTGAGTCTCAGCCTCTGTGTTTATTTCTCTGAGAACTCCATTTGCTCGTAAAGAAAAACCTTCCTGATAATTAGTTTATGAATGTTTGGGTTTGGTCAAAAATGATACTTACAGGTGAATTCTAGAATATGGTTGAACACCTGTTGCACTTCAGCTTTGGATTTAATTTGGCTGGTTCTTCTCCTAAAAGTTATCCTTTTACCTGGCTTTTTGGGTTTTTTTTCTTAAATAACACTCAAAGCTGGCAATTATTCCTGCTTATATAACTGGAATGATGGAAATGAAAACACTGTCGATTACTGTATACTGCTCAGATTTATAAAGAGAACTATGATGTTTTTTCACACACGGAGATTAATTTGGCCCCATAACTATAGCAGAGCCAACGTCCATGTTGTGCATGTAATGGGCATTGACATGCCTTTTTTAATTTTCTTTTTTGTAAGTTTATAGGTGTGCATGAGACTACTTTGCTGTGAACTGCCTGACAAGGCTTTGAGGCCACAAATGTGTTCTTCTATGCATGTAACTAATTTGAGAATTGGGACCTAAGCTTGTGCTTTTGTTAACTGCTGAAATAGAGTTTGAAAGGGGGAGGGAGAGTCCAGCAGTGTCACTAAACAAAACACATCTGGGACAGAGCAAAAATGCCCTTTAAATAAGTGTTTTCTCTCTTACTCAGGTAAACAGAATGCACTGATAATGGGTAAAAAAACGTGGTTCTCCATTCCTGAGAAGAATCGTCCTTTAAAAGACAGGATTAATATAGTGCTCAGCAGGGAGCTCAAGTATGTATGATGAATAAAAGACCTGTAAAACAAATAAAAAGTCTGCACCTAAAACTGTGTGTAGCAATGCATCATAAAGTAGTTCTGAATACAACATTTGTGATATCTCGTTAGGAAGCATCTCTGTTATTGATTCAAAGTGATACCAATACTTTAATTTTTTAATTATTATTTTTATTTATTTTATATTTTAATTAATTAACAAGATAATTGTCCTTACTTTAGTTAATAAATAATGGTCCTAGCTCTACACACAAACCATCTGACAATTGTCAGTAGTCTTTCTGACTCATGTATTTAACTGTATTTCTCTAGTTCCTGGTTAGATTGCTGACTCTTAATCCCTTTTTGAAGTTTATTTTTATTAGCATTTAAGGGAAAAGAACTGTCCTTTTTCAGAGCTCTCTTCTTGAATACGTAACCCGCAGTCATCCAAATATTCCTAAATAAAAATGTCCACTTAGAATGGTTTATTGCTTTGTAGGATGTTGGTGGGTTTGGGGCTGAATGTGTGGGCAGGCAGGGGACAGGGGCTTTTTGACTAGTTTTATTGAGTGAAATATCAGTATTCTAGGATTCAAGGAAAAATCTAATTTTATAGCTATCTCAATTTCTCAATTAGCTTTTTTAAAAACATGATATAAAATTTCAGATATGTAATTTATCATGCCTCTTAAGTCACAGTTATGATTAAACTGATTTACTAAACAATCCTGCAGTCAGATGAGAATTCTAACATAGTTTAGCAATAATAGGCATTTTAAAATAGTTAACTAATATGAAATATTTAGTTATTTGTGAATTCAGCAAAACACATTGTATGTCTAGATTGTATTGATTATCATGATGAATGGTCCTTTAATTATTTAGTAATAAAACTTTGCTTTTTCTAGGGAAGCCCCAAAAGGAGCACATTACCTTTCCAAAAGTCTGGATGATGCCTTAGCTCTTTTGGATTCACCAGAGTTAAAAAGTAAAGTAGACATGGTTTGGATCGTCGGAGGCACTTCAGTTTACAAGGTACATTTAGAGTACTCCTAAATTACTTATTTTCTGTGGTGGGATGAGGATCGCTCAAGTTCCTATTACTTCTGCTTTAAGAGGTGCTTTTCCTTCACGTGACCCATGAAACTCCAGTGATTCCAACAGAACAAGTCTTGGAGAGTAAGATTTCAAATCGCAAGTTTAAACTACCTGTCCAAGCAACCAAATGTTGCTCTTGCTAATGGTCCAGTGTCATACAGTCATTGCACTGTTGAGAGCTTTCCTTAAATGTCTAAATTGCTAGGTTTTTCAACCAAAACCCATATAATTATGTTTATTTTACTGAGGTAGTAGACTGACTCTGCAGGGGATGTGGGGAAAAAAGGAAAAATGATCCAGCATTTTTAGCGAGAGTATGACACTTTATACACCTAAGAAAAGATGATTTAGAGAGAGCTGGCACATGGTGGTGTCAGGAAAGAGGAGATAATCATACAACAAAAGGTAGCACTCACCCTATTTTCCCATCCAGCAGCCAGGTGTTCCCATGTAGAAATATGTGGGAACTAAAATAGCAATTAGTGATTGAAGTGAGTAATTCTATTCAGTAATTGTAGGTGTTCTTTTAAAGCATTATTTTGACCTTACTACTTGGTGTGGCTCCAAGGTGTAGATCTGTTTGTGTTTATTAGTACAAGCCTGTGATGGAAAAAGTGTCTGTAATTCAGCAAGCAAGTGTGACACCAGTGGTTTGAAACAGTTAGTGCTGAGGACATGACATTTCCACTTTGAGCACTTTGGGGAGTTTAACCCAAAGTTCAGATCTTTCAAAACAGGTAGAGCTTTATGAGGACAGACCTTGATGAGGAGAACAGGCCACTCTGGAAAGCACCATACTTTTCTTTTCATCTGCCTCCTGCAGATGATGGTCCCAACCACCATCAACCCTTTCCTATTCCTGATCTCGTACCTGGCTTCTCCTGCTGATTTACAAGTAACACTACTGTGCCTGGTGAGTAAATCCTCTTCTGCATCTGAGCATAGCCACACAACAGTGCAGTAGAGAGCTGTTTTGCACCAGGACAATCTCATCCGTTATTATCCCAGTAAGAAAAGCACTGAGACTCTGTAAAGTGTCATTTAAAATGCTGTTTATTAGAGCTAACACTTTGAAGAAGGACAGAATAGTATGAGTGATCTTACATCCCTGTAGATGTTGGGAACTCCAAGTTGTGTGGCATTGAATGAGCCTCCAAGCCACGTGCAGCCTGCTGCATAGATCCCATCTGTAGAAAGAGGTACCCCATTTTGGTCATTCAAGCTATTATAGGACTTTCTTAGAAGAAAGCAAGTCTTTTCATCATTTCTGCTGTCAAACAGAAAGGATGTTCACATGAGAACTTCTTGCTGCTTTTCTAGATAAAGGCAAGCACATGCAGGTGGTATAGTTGTTGGTACCAAGTGAGACCTGCCTGCGGTCTCCTCTGTTACAGTTTTCTGCAGAGCTTATCCTGTGGCCAAGGAATATGCGCTGCACCGTACAGGCCTGGGTCTATTCAGGTTAATTGTTAGTGGATAGCCTACTGCTTAAAGTACAATGGTCTTTTAGTCACGATCACTACAAAAGCAAATGGCAAGCTCATGCGTGCACCTGTTGCACTTACTTCGGGCGGGCTGCTTTTACAGCCTGTCACGGGCTGTTGTGGATGTCTTGAAGAATGAGTAGGAAGATGGAGATAACGGCATTCTTGGAGTCTTCACTGTAGCTGCTCTGCCCTGGCGGATCTGCAGCCCTTGGCACAGGGGTTGAGCTCAGGCTGGTGGCATACCATTGATATGGGGATCCTGGAGAATAAGAAGTAGATGCAGAATGTGTTGAATGTGAGGGTGCACAAAGGAGGCAGTCTGTCAAGAGCTACTACAACAGCGTTGCCGTTGCCAGAAAACTCTTCCAGAGTCTGTATCGTTATTCAAGAGGGTGGCTTATTGTCCTGTGGAGCCTTTTAACATAGCTCCTAACCTTAGCAACTTCTGATGAGTTAATCAGTTTGGGATGGGGAAGTCCACTGTGATCAGGATTTTTGTCACTGACCTCCATGAAGCAATCCTCCAAACCATATTTCTGTAGATGGTATGAGAAGGGAACATGTGCACGGTCTTCCAGGCCTTTGCTCTCTTTGGTTTCCAACGCCCTTTGTGGGTGCTCTGGGCAGCACCCACATCCCAGCCAGGTTCCAGACCCAGGGTAGCAAGCCAGAAGGATTACCAAGGGTGGCCCATGAACTGAGGCAGATTCAGATGTGTTTCAGGAGGTTTGCAAAGAACCTCAGACTAAAATGGGATGCTAGCACCTTCTTTCTGCACAGGGTCATTCAAGATTTTTGAACGCCTGTGTTGTCTGAAATACTGCATCCCCTCTGTGCTTCAGATACCATGCTGAAACAGGCCTGGCTTATCCTTATCCAGAGAAATGTGCTGAGGTGGAGCATCTACCCAGCTGCCTGAGTGCAGAAGGGTATTCTTTGGGACACAGGTGTCCAGCCTGTCTCTCAGTCTCAAGTACGGATGGCTGCTGTGCCCTGCCCAGCTTCTAAGAACTGAGGCAAGCAAAAGTGCTAGAGCATGTGCTCCAGGATGGCATTTCAAGGCAGGGTGCTGCCCTCAGCAGCAGAGGGACAGGGAACGGAGTGGAGGCACAGGACTGCCACTGTTTGCCACCTCTTCCTCGTAGAACTGCAGAGGAGAGAGGAGCAAGCCTGACAGTCTCTGAACATTTATAAGGACACAGAGCAGCTGTCTATTGCTTATGGCTGTCTTGGCCACGGCCCCTAGGTTCTCAAGGACACAGTTCTCTCCAGGATGGTGGGAGTATTTGCATAAGCTGCCTCAAGTCCTGTGAAGAACAGAGAAAGTTGAGTTCTGAACAGCGTGGCCATCCAAGTCCTTATGTAGGTTACATTCATTCTGTGTTCAGCAGCATACTCTGCAAAACTGCCTCATGCTGGGCCTTGACCTCTGCAACAGGAAAAGGCAGAGCAGCTAGACATGGTAGGCATTTTGATGGGGACAGGAAGAGCTGAGTAGAGTATTGGTGTTAGAAAGTGAGAGCAGAAAAGATTGAAAACCACTCACATAATCCACTGAGGATTTAAAAGCTTCGTGCCACCTTCATCTCCTTAAATTTGACTTGACACTGATCACCTCATCAGGTTTATAATCTCCTGATACAGCCACAGGATAGTACTGGTGCCTCCGAGGGAGCTTTTGGACTTCTCACAGCACAAGCTTACAAGTTTCACTTCTTTGGATCTCAGTGTGGTGACATACTGGATCTTCTGCACTATTCTGGATCTCCTGAGTTCCAGAAGGTGTTGGTGTTGCTATTGATTGTATGGATGAGGAAGAAGTGTAGCAGCCCAGCAACGGCCAGTAGATCACAGCAATTATCAAGCCGTTATGCATCATGAGAGGCACTCCATGGTTTTGCATGAGCACTTGATGTTTTGAGAGCCGTCTGTTGGCTGATGAGTGCTGCTTGTGTGCTGGAAAACTTGTGGTGGTGACTCACTCATTGATTCTGGCCCTTGAGTCCATATTAACCATTGGAGCTTATAAGACATGTCCCTGGAGCAGATTTTCTGGCTGCGTTTCATCCCCAAGTAATTTAGTTCATGTGTACCAAGATTGCTCCCCAGTACAATTAAAGCACGCTGAGTGCGGACAATTGGACGATTCATTTCAAAACCACGTTTCCACTCTGAGTTAAGACACTACTATAGATGCACTCTGTGGAAGTATTGTCTCCTAACTGAGATGTTCGTGTCTTGGCTTTGACTCTGAAAAATACTGCTACCTGGAGATCCTAAGGGAGTCTGCTCAGTATAAGTGATATCAGTCTCTTTTAACTGGATTTAGACTGTGTGTTTTAAACTAGTTTAAAACTGCATTCACATTTTACCAGACAGGACCTGAAAGTCCAGCACGTCCCCAAGTAATAAACAGGGTCTTTAAAAGCAAACAAACAAAACCAGGTATATATTTACTTATGTGGATGGTATAGTCTTATGATATGGTGTTTGTAGAGTGCTTAATATATATCTTGCTTTGTAAAAATAAGCAAGCACAAATCCCTCACAGTGAACCTACCAGTGGGGGGAAAGAAAAAAGGGCAACAAAACTTAAAAAAAAAAAGGAGAAAAGTATTTTAAAAAATTATGACTCAGGTCCTCATAATCAAGGCCTTTTTAGTAACACCAAAACAGGCTATATGTCAAACTGGTTTTCACCTTGATAAAACAGTTTTTCCTAAGCATCTTGAACATTTAAAATTGTGTCTCCTAATTTATATCTTCCTGCTCAGCTTGTTGCTTTCTCAATGCCACAGAAGCAAACAATGACACTCAAGGTCATATTGCTGAAGTCTAGAATTGTATTCATGTATTAAATTTGGAGAAGAAACTTGTAATTTCGTAACAGAACAAAAAGTTCTTTCATAAGAAGTTCTGTTGTTTTTCCTGTTTAGTTAATATCTAGGCTGCCCATAACAGAAAATAGATGCTGGTGATAAATAGCATTGGGGGAAATTCTTCAACAAAGAGGCTTGAGCTGGAAAATTAAATTTCCAGTAATCTCCAAGGGAAAATTTTATCTAATATTCATGCTCAGGTGTCTTCCTAGTATTTGACTTATTATGTTTGGTAATCTACCCCCTTTCATTCTTCAAAATTATTGAATTATGAAGTTGCTATTCATATTTAGCACAGCAAGTCTCTTGCAGATGATTAATTACCCTCTTAAACAGAGTTTCTTGACTAGGCGTATAAGCATCACTGGGTTCTGAATGCCCCAAGTGGGTTGTGAATGCCACATTTGCTAAGCTTCAAATCTTTGCTGTACTGTAACGATCACTTCTTTAAAAGAGAGAGGTATTAACAATTTGAGTCACTAGTTTTATCATGATTTCTTTCAAGCCTGCCAAAACTTTACTAGCTAATACTAATATACTAAAGTATACATTTTAAAGATTACATTTTAGT